GGAACCACATTGGAAAGTTTAGTTTGAGACCTGAAGAGTGACCAAGGAACATATAGACTTGGGGGTTCTTTTGGGGGTTCTTTCATGATTTTGAGTTTTGTTGTAGATATTTCTTCCGCTCTATTCAAGACCTTGTAATGCAATCCCTTTCAGAGCAGATGGTAGCGGTAGCCAGGCAAGATCTAGTTCTGGTCACAGGGTTGTGCAGATTAATTTTTCCTATTTATCTTCAGATTTCATCACTCATCTTTACTTCTGATAGCGAGAGACCAATATTTGTACTTTAGATGGCTTCTCATGAGTTTATTAAGTCACTAATCACCAAAGTAGGGTATAGAACATTGTCTTTGTGACCTGTTACACCAGTTGACCTTGGTGTCAACCTTCGACTGTGGTGCTGAGCCCCCTGGCCCAGTGACTCATTCCTCAAGATGACTAGTATTAACTATGTACATTGTAACTGTATGTATATATATGTGTGTGTGTGTATAAACATAGTTAATACCAAATATATGTTGGAATACATATAGCCTGTGTATATTCCGATTTTCCCTCCCACATGGTTAGCCCACAAGTCTAGTTATGTTGTTATTGGTTGTTTTCAGCCACCTTTGAGTTTGTTCCAACTCACAGAAGCTCTGTGCAACAGAACGAAAGTCACTCAGAACTCAACCCACAATTTTTATGCCATCCTTACAATTGTGTTTGAGCTCATTGTTGCAACCCATCTCATTGAGCGTCTTTCTCTTTTTGTGACTCTCTACTTTGCCAAGAAAGCTGTCCTTTTCCAAAGACTGGTCTCTCCTGATAACGTTTTGAAAGTATGTGAGATGAAGTTTCACATCATTGCTTCTAAGAGCATTCTGTCTGTACTTCTTCCCAGACAGTTTTTCTTGTTCTTTTGCCAGTCCATTCTACTTTCAATATTCTCCAATATCACTATTCAAATATATCAATTCTACTATAGGGTTCCTACTAATCCTGCTTTCACATAGATATGAGTCAGTGGAAAATGCCATGGCTTAGGTCAGGTGCACCTTAGTCCTCTAAGTGATACCTTGTTCTTCATCACTTGTACAGAGGTGTCTTATACACTAGATTGGTTGTTTGTTTTCTTGACTCTTGCCTCCTTGAGTGTTGATTGTGGATCCAAGCAAATTAAATCCTTGCATATCATCTGCTTTTCATGGCGTTGGTTTACATATCTATTCGCAGATCACTGTTATTGGAGGATTATGTAAATAACAGTATTTACCTTTGTTATATTTTAACTCTTTCATTCCTTCCTGTGCCCTCCTTTGCTGCCATCATTTTTTTTGTTACCTGGCTCTTAATGTTTACTGCCCCCCTTTCATCCAAATGTATGCAATCTACTTGACTCCATCTGGAAACTTTCTAACTACACTGTTTCCTCTTTTTACATCGTAATTGTCTTAATTGTAAATTTATTTGTCGGTACCGATTTTCAGTCTTTAAGGCTTGTTTTACTTTGGCTACTTCTATGTCTGGGTGACTTCTGGGTGGCATCATCATATATGTTCATCTCAGGTTGTTGTCTGTTGTTGGCTCTCTCTGTCTAAGAAATTCCCTTAATATTTCTTGTACAGTTGGTCCGGGTTCTGCAAATTGCTTCTAATTTCTGTTTATATTGAAATATCCTAATTTTGCCATCATATGTGAGGAACAATTTTGTTGGGTAAATGATTCTTGGTTGGCCATGTATTTCTTTCAGATTTATATGTGTCATGCCATTGACTTCTTGCATTGGTTTCTGCTGAGAAATCAAGAGTTTAGCCTTATTGATTCCCCATTTGTATTCTATCCTTTTCTTTGGTTTTGGAAAGTTTGATTATGATACATCTTGTTAATTTTGGGGGGAGGGGTCTGCCATGTTTGCTGTTGGTTCAATTTATGTTTCCTTTTTATCTATCTATCTGCATTTATTGGCATACATTTCATATGTGAAAGAGAGTTAAATAGTTTCCACAATCAATTTTAGGACATTTGCTTCTTTCTTCTACTTGTTGTCATTGGTTCCCCAGATTCCCCCAACCAGCCCTGT